CATGTGAAACTGCTTTACTCATAACTCATGGTGTAACCTTGAAGTGAAGCTCTGTCCAATCCAGCTTCTCTATTTTCACAAGAAGGTGAAAGATACACTTATTTGATTTATATCTCACCTTTTTTCTTACAAGGAACTCAAAGTGGCTTATAGAATTCTTTTCCTCCTACTCTCGATCTTATCCCCACAACAAGGCAAGTTGGGCTGAGAGTCTGTGACTGGCTCAATGCCACCCAGTTGGTTACATGGCCAAGTGGGGACTTGAACCCAGATCTCCTGAGTTCCAGTTCCATGTCTTAACCACTACACCATGCTGGCTTATGAAGGCAGAACTGGCCACAGGCAATGGATATTGAGTCAACTGCCCATTCAGTTCTAAAGGATGTCTCTATTAAAAACCAAAATCTAGGGTTATTTGTAGATGGGCCAACCTTTGTATGTGAAGGCATTAGACATACAGGGTTTGCTGTTACTAACCATCAGATCCTACTAATAGGAGAAGTTCTTGGATCAGGAGTGAGTGTTCAGGCAGCAGAATTAAAAGCACTGCCTGCTGCATGTTAGTATGCAGAAGGGAAAAGAGTTAATATTTGGACTGATTCTAAATATGGGTTTGGAGTAATGGAACTAGCACTATCTGGAAAGAGTAGTGATTTATCAGTTCTTCAGGTGTACAAATAGCACATGAAAAAGAACTAGCAGAGCTACGTCTGTATATACAAGTTCCCAAAGAAATAGCTGTTATTCATTGTAACACTCACATGAAACAGACCAATCCTGTTGCCATGGGAAATAGGTTAGCTGATAGGGCAGCAAAAGCAGCAGCATTACAGAGAGAACAGATCAACCTGCCCTTACCAATAGTTAATTGGTGGAAAGATGCTCCAGATAATGAAACAGCCACCTGGAGGAAATGGGGGCTGCAACCAGACCAAGAAGGAATCTGGAAATGTAAGGACAGGCCAATTTTGCCTTGAGGCAAACAGCAAGAGGTATTGCGGAAAATACACAGCACCAATCCTCCAGAAGGTAGTGCTGGGAGACAGTTGCTCTACCTCATGGTGATTACACCATGGGGTTCTGCAGGGATCTATATTATTTCCCGTGTCATCCAAAGGTTTGGGCTGAGGTGTCAGCAATATGCTGGTGACCCTCAGCTCCACCTCTCGTTTGCATCAAATCCAGGTGAAGTGGGCTCATGGTGAAACTGGTGTCTGGGTTTGATGATGGACTGGATGAGGGCCAATAAGCTGAAACTCAGTCCAGACAAGATGGAAGTGCTGTTGGTTGATGATCTGACAGGTTAGGTGACCATTATCCTGTCTTGGATGGGGTTGCCCTTCCTCTAAAGGACAAGGTCTTCAGCTTGGGGTGTTACTGGACCAAAAACTGTCACTGGAAACCCAGGTGGCCTTTTTTCAGCTGTGATAAATACAACCGCTGCAGCCTTATGCAGATAGACAGAGCCTGACCATGGTTACTCATGTGTTGGTAACACCTCAACTGGATTACTGTATTGCGCTCTACACTGGGCTGCCTTTGAAGGCAGTCTGGAGACTTCAGCTGGTCCAAAATAGGGCTGTGGGCCTGCTGTCAAGCATTGGTTCCAGAGCCCATATAATGACTATTCTATATAAATTACACTGCCAGTTGAAGCCCAGGCCCAATTTTAAGTATTTGTTTTAACATATAAACCCTAAATGTCTTGGGACCTGGGTACCTGAAGGAACGCCTTTTCCCATTGAGATCTGGGCATGAGGTCCTTCTGAAAGAGCCATCCCTACAGTGGCTTCCCCTCACCTTTGGAATGGGCTTCCTAGAGAGGTCTGCCAGGTGCCATCATTACTTTCATTTCAGTGCCAGGTGAAAACTGTCCTCCTTTGTAGGTATTTTGAAACCTGATTTTAACAACTGTAAGATTTTGTTCTACTACCAGCAATTGCCCCCCACCCCACACTGATATTGTAATGTTCAACTCAATTGTAAAACTAATCTTGTATCTTATTCGCCACTGGAGAGCCCTGTTGAATTATTCAGCAGCCTATAAATTTAAAAATAAATAAAATAAACACTCACCTAGGGGCTGACAAGATGACTCAAACAGTCCTCAGTCAATTTATCACTAGGATTACACAGACAGCTAGTCCGAGAATTTTAAAAAAATGCATTTACTGTCAACAGTGCATCCAAAGGAGAAAATCTCAAGTCATGCCTCCTGATGGTTGAAAGTGGGTCCACAGGCCCATGCAGAGTACCCAACCTGATTTTACTGATTTAACTCCCACAGAAGGGAAGAATCATTTATGGGCGATTTCAGTTGATTGGATAGGTAGAAGCATTTCCAGCAGTCCAGGCAACAGCAAAAACAGTATGCAAGATGCTCTATAATGAAATTGTGCCTAGATTTGGACCTCCTGAAAGAATAGTCTCAGTTATGGGGACCCATTTCCCAGCTAGGCATGTCAAAAACTTAAAAAAGCAATAGGAACTAAGTGGGTATATCATATGCCCTGGCCTACTCAAAGTTCTGGGCAGGTAGAATGTATGAATACAGCTATAAAAAGGCTATTAACAAAACTTTATCTAGAACTTGGAGTGAAATGGAGTAAAGTTCTTCCTTTAGCTGTTTACATTATTCAGACAGCACTGAATGCCAGGACAGGGTTAGCCCCCTATGAACTGTTGTTTGGACATGTTCCTCCTGTTCATTTCAGTATCTAAAAGTGGTAAGAGTGAACTGACTAATTTGAAAGCATTATAGTGACACCTAGTGGCATTACAAAAATATGCATCATTAGCATTGTTGGAAGCTGTACGTTCTATCTCAGCCGGTGATTTTATACAGGCTGGAAGATTCCACTTAGCCCCAAGGAGCTGCAACTCTTTGACACTAGCTTGGTCAGTACTACAGCTATTCAGGTTAAAGAGATTCCTACATGATTACCAGAATCAAGAAGAATACAGCCAGAAAGCCTGATCAAGGAGAACTCTAGACTACTCAGAAACTGCCCGCATCTGGCTTCGCAGAAGCAATGCCTGCTCACTGACTAGAAAAGGTGAGCCAGAAGTAGACGACATCAGACTTTGAAGTAGATGAATCATGCAACTGAGACAAATCTACTGTTCCATCATTCCTTCAGACAATTTACAACTCAAAGAGCGTGGGACTGGGACTCAGACGATCTGGGTTCTAGTCCCCGCTCAGCCATGGAGCCAACTGGGTGACTTTGGGCCAGTCACAGTCTCTCAGCCCAACCTTCCTCACAGGGTTGTTGTTGTGGGGATAAGATGGAGGAGGAGAATGATGTAAGCTGCCTTGAGCCCTTTATAGGAAAAAGGCAGGATATAAATCAAATAAATAAATAAATAAATAAAATAAACAGACTGAAGGCCCATTGCCCTGGGGAAGTATAGAGTGATGACATGGCGAAGTGGAGATTTTGAAGTATGTTATGGGTTCGGGTCTGCCAGTGATTACTAAAATAGGACACAGCTATGAACATAATACCTTTATCACTTTGCTCATCAAATGAAAACTTGCATGCCCTCCCTCAAATCACATTGGGGATGTTCCCTCCTATCAGTAGATAGCAACAGGGGACTGACTACCGGATTCCCATTCCCCTATGCAAGGGCAGGGCCTGGCAAGAGGCTTACCATCAAGGCCACTCAGCAGCGTTCTGTGGGATAGGCCTCAGGGCCCATTTGAAAAAGCAACCGACACAGCTTGGCAGCGGCGCTGCAAGAACATGGTGAGACATGGGGGGGGGGTGCGGTGCATTACGCAGTGCCATCACCTCATTCTGCAAGGCGGCTGCCTGTGCTTGCAAACTCTTAAATTACACTGCTCACCTCAGCATTACTGATGGCCTGAGTCAGGGTGCAAAGGGCCTCAATAAACAGACCAGGACACAAGCACTAAGATGTGAGACACCCACCAAGAGCCAGGCAAGTGACCAAGGTAACTGAAGTCAACTAACCAGTCCAGGTCAAGGACCAAGCAAGCCAAAGAACAGAGCACAGTATAGACCAGTAGGCCAAAACATGGTCAGAGCAAGCCAGGGACCAGGAGCTGGGAGCCAGCACAAGCACAAGGTGGGTACCTTGGAACTGGGAAGCAGGCTTCAGACACAAGAGACAGAGCCTCCCGTTCCCCCAGTGCTCCCAGGTGGTGCTCATGAAGGCCTTGGCAGCTGCAGCACAGCCTGGAACCAATCCTGCAACTATCAGGGTCATTATTCTGCTGCTAAGTCAGGAGCCCTGGAACAGCTCAGATCCTGACACCTGACCTGGATTCACATCACATAACCACCAGCCACTGATAGTTGTTGTTGCTTGATTGTTGTATTGTGTGAACCAGGAGTGTGCCATGCAGCACTGGTAGAACCAGAAATTATCGGATGTAGGTCCCTATTTGTCATAGAGCAGCCTCCCCCAACCTGAAAACCTCCACATTTGCCAGACTACTACCCCCATCATTTGCCAGTGGCTATGCTGGGGAGTAGTACTTTGACACATACCACCAAGCGTGTACTAACACATAACAGGGCTTTAATGCACATCTGCAGTAGGGTTTGGGGGAGGTTTTTTGCAGGGTTTTTTTACACCTCCTCCCCGCAACCCCGCACCATACAGACATATATGGATCCAGACCGGCCTCTCATCGTCAGTCTTCAATATATTGTTGAAGGCTCCTTTATGGAAAAAGTACAGCTTTGAAAGATGAAGCCAGTTTTTATTGCAAGGAGCAAGCTTACTTTTAGGTAATGGACTGTACCCTCTTCTTCACACGAATTGGGAGCTGAAACAATATGGGCTTGACTCAGCTCCTTGAAGTGGGGAGAGCAAAATTCCTCTTGATGCTAGAGAACGGGATGCTAAACTGCAGCAGCAAGAGGCTGCACTCCACCTCTTCTGGTGTCAAACTAAATGTAACATAGGGCTTGGGAAAATTAAGACTGGAAATACCCTGTGAGAACACACATGCCAACACACAGGACTGTTCTTGTAAATAATTTGTAGTTTAATTTTGTTCAAAGTCCTTAATCCTGCTGTGGATAGCACAGTTTGTATGGCCTCCTACCTGGCTGTATTTTTTAATCTCAAAACCGAGGCTCATAGCTGCAAACAATACAGAAGGGTCTATGGTGTACCTAAACTTGGGAGGTCAAAATTTCGTTCAGATCAGCTGAGTCCAGTAAACACTATGGCTCCCCAATAAATTTAGTTGAAGCATCATCAACAGCTCAAAGAGACAGAAGCAGCAGAGAGAAACCCCACAGTCAGGCGCTGAACCACCACGTCAACATTTTGCTCTTTCTGCCTTCAATGCAAGGAAACCACAGCTTAGCAAAGCCCTTCAACTGCCAAAGTGGTTTTGTTCAGTCAGTCAGACCAGAAAGTCAGAGCAGAAGCTTCACTAGAAGAACTTGACACCTCGCCCATCATCCAGGATGATGATTTCAGCCTTGTGTTCTTGCTGCAGAGCCTGCAGGGCACGGAGTAGCATGGATTCTTCCAAACCATGGAACTCTAGGAGAGGATGAAACAGCCTTGGTTGAGGGAAATAATGCCCCTGCCACACAAAACACAGCACAAGAAGCATAGGAACAGCAGGCTATGAAAGAGGCAACTTACTAACACACAAATGCAAAAGAATACATTTGTGGGCGGAATTCAACACCCTAAGAATCTTTGCTTTTATTTTTACTCCTGATTTCATAGGTAATTTCTAATTTTTTACTCTGAAATCTGATTTTCTGGTCTTCTAGACTACTTTATTGGCAATTAAAGCTGCCCAAGAACTGAATTCAAGAGCTGAGAGTGGCGCAGGGTCCATGCCTCTGCCAGCATGGAAAAAACAAACTCAGTCAGTGCCAGGAAGCAAATCCATCCTCTGAGTGCCTGACAGCAAACTGCAGGACTTGGCTGTGAAGAATGGCAGCCCTTCCCAGGGCATGTTAAGTCCTGGGCTTCACACGGCATCCCAGTGGGGGTGATGTGCATTGGAGCTGAAAAAGCTGCTTCCAGCACCAGCCACGTTCCTGGCTTTGTGCAGCACACATCACCCCCTGGACACTTGCCCAAGACAGGCCAAGGCCCATGCTACCTCCATCCCTGCTGTCACCTCTGATCTGGGGAACTTCCATGGATTGGCAGTACCCATCTCATGGCACAGATCAGCCTGGGACATCAAACTGGGTAGTCATTAAAGATATAGAATATGACCAAAGGAAATAAGCTAACAGTACATCCATTGTCACTTTCCAGGCTACATTAAAGAAATTAACCCTGGACCACTCAAGTTCAGCATATTACATCAATCTATCAAATGAATGATAGAAATGTTCTGCAGATGTATCTAAATTTGACATGTTATGAATTAAAATGCAATGATCAAAAACATCTTAGAAAAGCTTTTAACTTCAGAATTAGAATGACAAGGAAGGTGTCATCAACTAACAGAGAGCTGGAAGGGCAAACCATCAGCATGGGATTAAGCACAGACTCCTCAGCCACCCTAAATCGTTTCACCAAATGATCTCTGCCATTGCAAAGTTACCTTCGTTCTCTGTATCCTCTCCATTGGATAGCTCATACAGTGTGAAAACTGAATTGGTCATCCCGTTTTTCGACACCTGGGGATAGAAGACAGGGTGTAACAGAGAACTTGGAGAGAACTATAAGACATCATATTTTTATTTATGGATTTATACCCTGCATTCTCAGTGTTTCTACCTTCAGGAAAGTTCAGAATAACAACACAAACAAAACAGGAAAATATTAAAAATGCCTCATAAAACATTAGATAGCAGATAATAAAACATGGCAGTAAAGATATAACACAGATTTTTAAGAAACAGCAGCAATGTTTTAAATGGCTTTGGTTAATGAACATGTATTCATCTGGCATGGAATTATGTAAGAACAAGTGCCTAGAAAACCATCCTGAGTATGTAACTGTGGCCAGAGTCATAATTGCATCAAAACAGAAAGCAGAAGATAACCCAACTATTGAGGACTGAAAAAATAAATTTGCAGACTATTGAGTAAAGGCAAAATTGACTAATTATGTAAACAGAAAACCAGCCAAAGAATTTAGTGATAAGTGGAAACTATACTATGCGTAACTTACTTTATAATAGGAAAATGTATATTTGAACAGAGTCACATTTTTGAAAATATTGTTGGAGATTAACACTAAGACTAATGCTTTGCTATTACAGCAAGAAAGAGTTATATAAATGGAATAGAATTTTTGAAAATATTGTTAGAGATCAACTCTTGTACTGCTTTGTTGTTATAATGTTGCATTAGGATGAATAGAGCTATTTAAGTACATGATAATTGTGGCCAGAGTTAAAACTGCCATAGAAGGGAAAGCAGAAGAAATTTAATCACCAAAGACTGGAAAGATAAGTTAACTATGCAGTAATGGTAAGACTAACTAACCATGTAGAAAGATAACCAGCCAAAGACATTAATGATAAGTGGAAACTTTATTATACACAACTTCTTTTTAATACGGATAACAAGAATGGAAAAATATAGGTAAAAAGGGAACAGAATTTTTGAGAAAATGGCAAAAATTAATAAATTCTTTCTGAAGAATTGTCAATACATTTTAGCTAAATTCTAAACAAATGTGACTCAGTAGAAAGGACAGTAATTGTTGACTTAAAGTGACTTTTTTAAAACACTTCATATTCTATGTAACATTTGTTTAAGAACAGTTGGCGTTCTTCTGTAATTTTTAATTGTATTCTTATTTTTTCTTATTTTAAAACTTCACTGTTATTAAAAGAAAAAAAAGCAGTAACCGTGCCAATTAAATCCATTTTAGTTTCAGACTGGATTACAACAAAATGTAGAAAAGTCAAAGTGGGGGGCAAATACTTCTGCAAGGTACTGTATGTTCCATGCAACTGTACAGCACAAACTCAGAATTTGACATCAGAAATGGAATTCGCTATCCTGGGAATATATCTGTGGAAATATGCCAAAAACATATTGATGTTTTTGGAGAAACCTCAGATTTTGGAAAGGGAGATGATCCAGAATACTACCACATGCCTCTATGATCTTGAATTGATGGTGTCCAGAAGCAAAATTGATTATGCACCATTAGTCAATAATAAATACCTTTGTTCTGCACCTACCCACTGATAGATGAGTTTGCCCCATTCTTCTGGACGTCGCCACATGATCAGGAAGCTAGATTTGTTCTTGTCAAGCCACTCAAGATTTCCTGGAAAAGAAGCATTAAACACTTTTAACACTACAGCCTGCTCACACATACACAGCCCACATAAGGAGTCTGTCCCTCCACCTCTCTCCCAGCAGCCTGGCTTGCTTGTTATATAAGCCTGGAGAGAGGCACATCACATTTCCTATCCTAGTAAGGACTACTCAGAAGAAGATCTCACCAAAATCAATTACCTCTAAGTAACTGTGTTCAGCTAATATCTCCCGTTTTTGTAAACTGCCCAAAGAGCTTTGGCTACAGGGCAGTACAGAAATGAAATAAGTAATTATTGTTGCTATTATTATTATTATTATTATTGCTATTAATAATAAATTTGAATGATTTGGCACAACAGCAAATATTATGCTGTGATTATTTCTGATGTTAAAGAAAAAAGAGGGGAATGAAAGATATCACTAAGAAATGGTACATCGCTCTCCCCCTCTTTTTTTAAGAGTAAGTGGTACACTTTCTGAAGTTAAGAAATTAAGAAAACTTTTAAAAGCTTGAGATCTCAGAACTTTTGTTACCATTTCAAAATTATGCCATATCATTGTACCTCTGTAATCAGTGATGACATACTCCTTTTAAAAAAAAAAAAAAACCATTTAGGATCAAAAGAAACTTCAGACAGACTCATAGGCAGAAATTTCATTAGCTGACTTACTTTTATTTCTACCAGGAAGGTACTTTTGCTTTAAAGAACACTTAAAAGTCCTGGGCAATATTTTAAAATGAGAACTGTGTCTAAAGTGGAGATTCACAAATATGTTGACAGCAGCATGAAACATAACTCACCTTTTTTCCTGAGCTCCTCTAACACAACAAGGATGGAATCCAATGGGAGCTTTCCTGTTCTACAGTTAAGGAAATAGTCACTGTGCAAGGGATGAGATAATTAACACAAATTGGGGTAAACCGATCTGCCCCAGATCAATAAAGGAATGCAGGATATTGAGTCCCAGAATTCAAGTCATTAAAACTAGCATTCTATATCCTTAAAGAAATGGGCTCTTCATACTCCTTATTCAGCAGAATTTGTAACCCTTCCATCCAAGCTATCATGCAAATAGCCCAACTCAGAATTTTCTTGAGGACCAACAGGACTTACATTCCAACCATGGTGGAAGGGTAGAACTACCTACCATTCTTTTAAAGAGCCACTGAAACAGTCTAGAACATATCTCACAAGCAGAGAAAAGGAATCTGCAAATTGTATAGCCTGAAATAATTCCAGTACTTAAGTTCTATGCTGTAGAACAGTGAGCTTGATACCCCTTTGCATTCATATTGCAAAATCTCTTCTTTTCTATAAATAAGATTAAAAGCTGTTCTTTTAAGACCAAGAAGTGAGTATGGTAAGGATGGTAATTTTATCCTGCAGAACTCTTCAAGAGACATAGTCTGTGCTAATAGAATGTGTCCTTCCCTGTGTTACTTATACAATCTCACCAAGAGTGATAACTTTGTTTTTAATGGGACCAAGTGGATGACACATCTTTCTAAGACATCCTCTGTACTGTCTGCAGTGCTAGAAGATAACATTTCAAAAAGAGATCAAAAACAACAACTTTGGGAAGGAAGAATCTGCCCTCTGCAAAAATGAAAACATACTAAAATGTAATGGACAAGCTGTTCTGGCCCAAGAGGAGGGCAGGAAAGATGATCTACAAAAAGTGTGTTTTCCAAGGCAGGTATGTTCTGTGTTCTTCTCCCCATTCTGTACTTGTGCCGCAACAGCCAGGACAACGACCTGCCCAGCCAACAACAGTTCAAAGCCAGGACTGCTTCCAGTTTAAACTGTACTCCCATGGCAGAAGACAACTGTTCCATCTTAAAAGAATCTACAGTATTCCATGATGTGTTCACCAAGGAAGAAAGAACAAGGCCCACATTAGGATAGGAAGGATACGTTGCAGTTTCCAGTTGTTGAACAGTGGGCTCTCTTGAGCCTCTAGAACAGTCATAGTGTAAAGTTTGTTGAGGCGGCAGTAGGAAAGCACTAAGGAACACCAAGCGGTCAGCTGTTTCTGCCTTGTGTCCACATTGGGCTGCAGTCTAAACACAATCACAGAAGCAAATACAGATTAATAGACTGATCAGAAATTCCACAGTGCCATGTAAGGCTCCAAACCAAACTGAAGAGTAGAATTTGCAGGGTTGTGTATTCATTTACAAGACTGCTATATCATTCTATATATGATGGGATTTCCCAGTGGTAAAAAATAAAAAGCAAGAAAAAAGAATCAAACTTAGTATCACAAACAGATTATATCAGTAAAACTATGATTGACTGACATCTACTACTCTCATCAATTCTTTCTTATCTTCCTTTGCATCTCTCTCCCCCACCCCCCTCACCTGGATCACTTCCTGGTCTCCAGCAATCATGTTACTCTTACCCATTGAGTGGCTGTTTCCAGTGCCATGGCACTCACTCCTTTTCCAAATCTCATTCCCATTCACCCCTTCCTCATTCCCTTGTCATGCTCAGAAGTACAACTCTTCTAACTCTTTTCCATTACTGAGGTTTGACCTCTCCACTGATACTACTACCCTGCCCACACCCTCACCGAGACACTGCTGCTGCCTTCTCATACACTCACTCTGCCACCTGGGGTGATGGAACTGGCCTTTCTCTTCACAAACCCTGTTCCAGATTGTTTCCTCCCTCTTAAGCCCCCTTTTAACTCCCACATGACCTATATAGTTGATTTTCTTTCCTTTTCTCTGTGCTGACTGTAATGTTCATGTTGATAACTTCATTGCCCCACTGCTTCCCACCTTCTCTCACTAACCTGTTGTGTATGCCACTGATTTTTAACTAACTCACCTATTTAACTGCTGGTCACCTTTTTTATCTAAGAAATGTTCTCTATCAAGTCTCTCTGTCTCCATACTTCTCACTTTCCATCCAGGACTGCATTTCCTCTTCAGTAACAAAAATGAAGTTATCCACTATAGTTCCTCTACCTTTTTCCCTCACCATCTCACTTCCTTCTAGTCTTTGCTCAAATGCCAACTCTGCAGCCTTCCACAAGTCCTTTTGATCCTAATTCCTTTGGTCTTCTAATTACCAACTCTCAGCTATTATTTCTACACCATTACATTCTTCTCCTATAATGGGGTGGGCAGCATGTCACCCTCCAGATGTTCTGGCTTACAGCTTCCATCACTCCTTTACCATCAGCTATGCTAGCTTGAGCTGATGAAAGGTTAAGCTAAAACATCTGAAAGGTGACATGTTGCTCACCTTTATTCTATGAAGTAATGTTCAATCTATTGCGAAACAGTAATTCTTTCTGCACACCAATGAAGATATCTTCCCCTTCCTCTTGACTAAAATTTCGTGTTTTGCTCTGATTATTCCAGCTTTCACCTTCACACTGTAACTTTCTTTCTGGTGCTCTCCTATTATTCCTTGGTCCTCACAGGTGCATTCAAAATTCCATTGCCAAGAACATTCACCAATCATGTCACTAATAATATGGACTGCCCCTTAAAACACCTCATTGCCTTCCTATCCACTCCAGACTCCTTGCCCTTTTGATTCAAGCATTTGTTTATGAAATTCTTTACAATTATACCATTCTATTAAACCACAAATAAAGAAGTCAAGACATAAACTACACATTCTATTCAACAATATCCTTACATACAAAATAATAGTTTATAAAAAAACAGTGAAATGGGATTCTACAAATACATAGTGAGCTACAAGCATGCCAGTTGTCAAACAAGCAGCTGAGCTACCTTCTAAACACCAGATTTACATACAGTAAATATTGAAAGACAAAAAATAACATGGCTTTCCATTATAAATAATCAACACTTTTCCTTCCCAAGGGGAAAAAATGGTAAATCATGAAGTTGTTGTTCTGTGCTGTCAAGTAGTCTCCAGCTTATGGTGACCCTATGCATGAAAGCCCTCCAGAAAGTCCTGTCCTTGACATACCTGCTCAGCCCTTATAAACTCAAGGCTGTGGCTTCCTTTCTAGAATTGATCAACCTAATTTTTGGTCTTCCTCTTCTTGTTCTGCCTCACACTATTTCTCCTTCAGTGAATCCTGCCTCCTCATAATGTGCCTGAAGAAGTATGACAGTGGATGAATTCGCCCTTGGTCTCCAGTGACATGCCCTTACACTTGATGATCTTTTCTGGTTCTTTCATTGCTGCTCTTCACAGTCTTCTTCTAATTTCTTGGCTGCAGTCTCCATTTAAGTTAATTATTGAGTCAAGGTATGCAAACTTTCAATTTCTTCATGACTGACATTAAAATTCTTGTCATGATTCTTGTTTTCTTAATGTTCATCTGCAGTCCTGCTTTTGCACTTTCTTTTTTCTCTAGGAGTCTTTTTAATTCATTGCTGCTTTCTACCAGTAATATAGTAGCACATGCTTGTCCTAAATTGTTGATATGTGTTCCACCAATTTTCACTCCTCCTTCCTCTGATCCAAATCCAGCTTTCCTGGAATGTTCTGCATACACATTGAACAGACAGGGAGATATAATATATCCTTGTCTGACACCTTTGCCTAAGGGAAACCATTCTGTTTCTCCATACTCTGTCCTAACAATAGTTTCTTGTTCACAATACAGGTTATGCATCAGGATGATCAAGTAGTGAGGCACATCCATTTCTTTCAGGACCATCCATAGCTTCATGTGATCCACACAGTCAAAGGCTTTGCTGTGCTCTATAATGGACAGACTGATCTTCTGAAATTCCTTGGTGTGCTGCAGTAGCCAATGTATATTTGCAATGTGACCCCGAGTGCCTCTTCCTTTCTGGAATCCAGCTTGAATGCCAGACATTTCTTGCTCCATGCAAAGTAATATTCTTTGTTGAGACACCCTGAACATCACTTTGCTCCCACTGGTGCAGCTGCCCTATAGTTGCTGCACTGCTTTGTTTCTCCTTTCTTGGGTAGTGGAATGTATATGGAACATTTCCAGTCTGTGGGCCATTGATTTTTTACATTAGTTGGCATATTTTTGTTAAAAGTTGGACCAATTTTAATCTCTGCAACTTGGGATAGTTCTACTGATACCCTATCTACCTCTAGGTCAAGGATCTCAAACTCGTGGCCCGCGGGCCAATTGCCGGGACGGGCGGGGCACGGGGAGGGGCCCTGCGGTCGTCAAAGTGCCAGGGGCGCCCGGGCTGGCCTCCGGATGAGCGGCCCACCACCACCGCGGTGGTGGAATACTTGATGCAGCCCAGCCTCACCCAGACTCTATTTCCAGCGGCCCCCAGGTAAGTTGAGTTTGAGACCCCTGCTCTAGGTACTATATTTATTCCAAGTGCTTTCAGAACAGCGTTAACTTTACTTGCTAATATTATAGGTTCTCTCTCATAAGCGTCCTCTTTGAATAGTAACAACACTATTCATAGTTGTCCTTTGCTCTTCCCCAGTAGCTGGTAGAGTGCCTTCTTACCTGAGAGTCTAATCTTCTGACACTACCCTCCGTTAGATTCCGGATTGTTTCATCACAGAGTTTTCAAAGTAAGAAATATTGAGATGTTGTTCCCCATTACTACCTACAGTGCAGTACTAAACAGAATTAGCTTAAGTGTCACTACTGTTCTCCGTGAAAGATACTGCGCCAATTTCAGCTTCAAGCACTGTGGCTGCGCAATAGCTGCCCTTCAGGAATTCCTCCACCCGCATCAGTAATCAAGAGGCCCATTCTCTTCTGCTAGTATGACCATTACTCCTGAAGATGTTGGATGCATCTTAATCTGGTGTCTCAGTTTCGACCATTCTGCTTTGATGACCCTGCTAGACCAGACTAGTCAGAGACTGGTTTCCTAGCAGCATTGCTTTTGGCTTCTTGATACTTTCAAACCCCTTTACCAAGAAGAGTGAATCACAGTATTGCTTGCCAAAGGCATTTTAACCCATCTTCCTCAGTTATACATCTGAAAAATTAAAATAGTTGCTTAAGAGGTAATCCAAACAACACATTACCCAGACTGATTTATATCAAGGCACATGCTCACATATTGTGAAAGGCACTTCTAATCAGACTTGAAAGATTTGAGTTACACCTTTTCTGACCAAGATGCCTGAACAGCAATTATATACTGCCATACAAATACCCAAATATTAAAGAGAGAAAGATCCCCAGTGACTATCCTTATACACTTCAGGAACACTTTCAGAAGCCTCTGAAGTCAAAACACATTTGGCAACCAACAGCGTTAACTCACTAAAGACTCTTCTTAGGAACTGATTATTTATAAAAGGTTATTATCTCTATCTTTTAGTATTTACTGTATGGAACTATGGATTTAAAAGTCAGTTGGTCTGCAAGTTTGACATATGTTTATTTGTATTTTTGTGAATTTGTATATTTTTCATTTCATTTTGTTCATAAATCATTTTGTATGTAAGGTTACTTTTCAATAAATTCAGTATTTTTGTCCTGATCTTATTGCAGTATAGTTTGGGTTTGGATGGGCAGGAAACTTTCCTCTTGGCTTCACTTAGGTATGCTATGAATTGCAGACAAGCTGATTCACACATTACATAATGCATGCAAATAAATTTCAATGATTATCCATTATGGGCTACACAAAGAATGTGAATCCTGTGAACCAGTAGGGCTGACTGGGGAATGCTGGATGTTGTTGGGATTTTTTGTCTAAATATACATAGCATATCACCCTTAATGGTAAAAACAAATGCAGACATCAGCAGGGAAAGGTTTTGATTCAAACAATTCAGTTACAATGCCCAGTCTCAGTGCTGTCCGTGGAGGCTGGTTGCAGTCATTAACACACACCAGAGAGAAGCCAGTTATTTTTTTGTCTCAGGTCAACCGAAAGTAAGCAGCCAGTGCACAGCACGTCTCGAACAACCATGGAAGGTGTGGACAGACTAAAAACACGAGAAACGAAAAAAAAAAAAAAACATAACAAAGGAGTCCGTGGCTATCTCCCTAGGTCGTTCCAGCACAAACTAGGGCTCCGAGAGGCTCCTTTGGCGCGTGTACCCACCCCATGCCTCAGGAAAGGGGAAAAACTGCTTAAGCTCGGAACCAAGAGGTTTGGGGTCAGGGAAAATCCCGGGACTCACGTGAAGAAGGGCGGGAAGCTGTACTGCCAGGGCCACTCGAAACTCATCATCGCTTCTAGGACAGAACGCAACTTCCGCCTTCGAGCGCCAACTTCGGGTCCATCCTACAAATGCTTCCACCGCCCTCCCGCAGGCGCCACGTGAAGGTTCCGAGAAAACTCTCGTTCCCGGAGTACCTGTAGATCTATGCGCTGCAGAAACGCACATTTCCCCCGGTATCCGGAATCGTAGTGGTGCCCCTGAGATCGGGCTTCCGTGGTACTTGAAGAGTTTTCTTTAAGATACTGCTCTTTCCTGCAACCTGAGCTATATTTTGTATAGGAGCACTCCTTTAGAATTCAAAACAGAAAACATATTCTGATGGAGTTGTGTACGTTAATACCTTCCTGCTACAGCATTTATGAAGATGCTGAAGAATATGAGGGTCCAACTGCTCACATTTTTTAAAAATAAAAGCTGTATAAGTTAAGCCTTATCAAGCATACAACACAATTTAACAGCATAATGCATCATAAAACAATAACTATACTGTCAAAATTAACACTTTAAACCAGCAGCATATATACAGTAGATCCAGTCGAATTCAAACTCAATTATAAGCTTGGAGGCCTCAACTGAAACTGAGTTTACAAGCAGGGAACAGAGACTAGAGAGGCTTCATCTCTCTGATCCTCCATCCTAATTGCTCTGACTGCTTACACCATGGGTCCTCTAACTACAGCCCGTGGGTTGGATATGGCCTGCCATGCTCATTTATCTGGCCTGCCTCAGAGGTTGCACTCATATATAGAATGGGAATACGGAGCGGGAAACAGAAGAGAGGAGGGTGGAAAAGAGAGAGAGACGAAGACGAAGAAAAGTAAAAAAAGATTGAAGGTAAGAAAAATATAACTTTTAAATCTATTTTTAATTATGTGAGCCACGTTCTCGGCCTACGGGCCAAGCTGCAGCCACCTCGCAGAGCCCGGGGGCAAACAGAGGAGGAGCGGGGCCACGGCTCCCGTGCCTCCACCGCGGCCTTCTCCGAGTAAGCTGTGACTGCCTTGCCGAGCCACCTCCCCTCTCCGGCCTCCTACTCCTGCTCCCTCGGAACCAGGGCGGTAGCGAGGACTATGATTTCCATCATGCCCAGCCAGCATGGCCAATGGAAATCGTAGTCCAACTCACCTGAACAGTACCAGTTTTGGCAAGGTTGCACTTAAAATATGGTAGTCATTAGCTCTGCATCCAAATACAGCCATTGTGTATTGTGGGAATTGTTCTGGGCTGACTTGCTTCAAATGCTAAGAGTGGCATTAACAGTATTTATCCTTAGTATTTTTGCTTCATTCTTTGTAACTGCCAGTTGCAGTCATCAGCTGTATTATGCAAAATACTATATTTGGTGCCTTGGTTGTGTTGTAGCTATGTCCCTTGAATATGGACATGCTCTTCCCCACCTCATCTTGGGCTTCTGCTGCAGCCCGAGGAAGTGGAGCAAACATTTTTTATTTTTTAATTATTTTTTAAATTTTAATTATTTTTAAAATTTGCTTTAATTTTAATGTGCAGTGTGCATAGGAATTCGTTCATATATTTTTCAAACTATCCCCCCCCCCCGCAACAGTCTGAGGGACAGTGAACTGGCCCCCTGTTTAAAAAATTTGAGGACCCCTGACTTACACTGATGTCAGGGTGCTGACAGATTGTTGTGGGAAAAGGTGATATTTCAAATAACCTGGACACAAACCAAAGGGCCTTAAAGGCCAACTGCAGCATGTTAAATCTGGTGTGGAAGCACACTGCCAAACACTGCATCAAATACAGTGGTAGCTTGGCTCACGAACTTAATCCGTTCCAGGACTCTGGTCGTGACCCCTGTCACATCGATCTGCAATACAAAAACTCAGAAATCAGTTTCTTGTCAGGGCAAACAGGTTTATTTACTTGAATGCACGGATCCATGGGTGCCTAAAATAGGAACATCCCATGTTAATTTCCTTAGGATTATATAGAATACACAAAAGGGGAGTGAATACAATACACAGGAAGGTGATTGGATACTTTGATATGGATAGGAAAAGTGATTCACAACACCATAAAGAAAAGTTACATTTCACTCTAATTAGATGCCTTTGACAGGCCTTCTAAACTAAAGTTTCCTTGAACAGGCTGGCCAAGTTAAGTAAACAAAAAGGTTACATGTGTGAACTTACAGGGTTAGGGAGGCACTTTAGCAAGCCTATAAAACACAGAGATTACACTTTGACAGTTACCCACTAATGGAGTGGGGTCATTTGGTCTTCACCACCAGACACTGAGGCATCCTTTTTGATCTGTTTTATGGCAAGGCAGTGAGGCGGGATAAGAAGTCTTGGTTTTCTGAGTGCATCCTAATTGATCATGAGCCAAGTTAAATTTCCCCATAAGGTTCAATGTAAATAAGGTTAATCCGTTCTGTAACCATTTTTTAAATCAGAAAAATGTGAAGCAAAGTGACAACAACAAAGATCGGAGCCATCTGCCCCACACCCCAAGCACAAGCGCGGCCATCTCCCCGCCCCCCCAGCACGACCGAGATTGCACCTGTCTTCCCTGCAGGCGCCTCTCATCCCTGCAGGCGCCCATCATCCCAGCGTGCTGGGCGGTGGGGGGAAGAGATGGGCGTGCTCACGGGCGCACTGGGGGAGGGAGAGATGGGCGCAAACAGTGCGCTGGGGATGGGGAGATGGCCATGATCACAGTACCGTTCGTGCAGGGAAGGGGTGCCTGATCAGAGGAGCGCTCCTGCAGGAAAGACAGGTGGAATCTCGGCCATCTCCCCCACGGCTCTGCTTTGCTGCTCCTGTCTTTCCTGCAGCAGCGCGCCTCTGATCATGCACGCCTTCCCTGCACGAACGGAACTGCGATCGTGGCCATCTCCCCACTCAGGGGGGTGGGGGTGGGGGGAGATGGCTGTGATCTTGGTCACCACCCAAAGCGGTGTTCATGACCCAAGTCAAAATTTTTGTTTGTGACCTGATTTGTTTGTGAACCAAGGCGTTCATGAGCCAAGGTACCACTGTATAACAAATGTGCTGCTTGATCTGAATGCCTAGGATCTACAGTATGCAAATTGCCACGTTTTGTTAAAAGCAACCCTGCATTGGGCTTATTACAGTACTCCAGTCTGGATGCCAATAGAAAAGTCTCAATAACTGTTGCCAGGCCCATTCTCTCCAGATAAGGGCACTGCTAATGTGCCAGCCTAAGCTGATAAAAAGTGCTCCTGACCAACAGTGCTACTGGAGCTTTCCCATTTGGCAAGAGAAGTCCAGGAGAACTCTCAAACTTTGTACCTGGTTCTTCACTGGGCAGTCCAGTCAGTTGCAAACTTCCGCTCAGTTCCATTCATTCACACCTCAGAGTTGCTGAACCCCTTTGCTGCTGGCATGGAACCCTGGCTGCTCACTGACCCCCCACCTTCTTTCACATGCTACATGAAAAGTCAACAATCCCTCCCTCCATGGGCAATTTGTTGCTGCAAGGTGACAAAAGGACCACGCAGCAGTGCAAAGCAGGAGGCTCTGCTGGCCTTATCCAGCCCACATATATTGTTTAATAGATGCCGGCCTCATACTGGCAAACCAAGAAAGCTATCTTAGCCTTAACCTTTGTCTTAAGGTTCACACAGGCTTGCTAATGGAAGACATGGTATTCATAAAGTAGAAGGTGGCACTGAGCATGTGCAAAGTGTTTTTCACTACTGAGATATATAGCAGGGGGGTTGTCTCCCAGGTGAATCCTGACTTTGTAGGCAGCAGACCATGGTGCTCCCTAAATTTCAGGTCAGTGTGTATGTGTGAGGGGCATACATAAAAGCATAAGAAAAGTCATGCTGAATCAGACCAAAGGTCCATCTGTTGCCAATTGCAGCACCCCAAAACACCCCAAAAGTAATTGGCCAGAGAAAGGCCACATAGTCAAAACACCACAGTTATACTGTCTCAGAAGGGAGAGCAGATAAGAACAAAATGAACTTTGTGTAACCCACAGCTAACACGCTAGCCTGACCTCGAATACAGTAATCAAAGGGACAGTGGAAACTGGTTCTAGCCGCCATGAAAGTTGCACAAGTGCAGGGAGTAAGAACATGGCAAGCCTGTGTGAATCTCGAGCAGATAAGAAATAGACATGGGAAATGTCTGGTCCTTGACAGAAGAAAGGACTCTTTCTCCAGCGCAGGAGGGGGTGCATACATTGATGTATCGATGCATTAGATGTGTATTAGGTGACCTAATTGGTTACCTGGGCTATAAAACGCATGTACTGGGGTGCAACTTTTGAGACACTGCTTTGGGCTGAAAGTCCTCTTTTGTCTCCCTTTATTCTATAGTGCACTAGAATAAAGCTGGTTTTGGCTCTAAGTCTCATCTCAGGCTCTGTTTGGATTCGGGTCTGGGGTCCACCTGGGGTTTGCCCCAGCTGTTGACTGGCTCAGTCCAGTATCACATCCAATGCAGCACTCCATTCACATGGTGGCAGACGAGTTGTATACAAGATTCCTCAAGGTGGATGGGCACAGAACCTCTGCTTGCCTGAGCTTCTCAGCAACTGGTGTATGTAGGCATGCCATCTCTGGTAATGGAGATAGCTCGCAGCTAGCACATCTAGTAGCTACTGATAGCCTCCTTCTCCATGAATTTGTGCAATCCCCTTATAAAGCCATCTATATTGATGGACATCACCACTTCCTATGGCAGTTAATTCCACAGTTTAACTATACATTGTGTGAAGAAGTATTGTGAGGCTGAGGCGCTCTTCCCACACACATTCTCAGGAACTGGCAGTTGGAGCTTTAAATCCTTTATTCTACGAGAAACTTCAAAGCTACGCAGACAAGAAATGACAAAGGAGCTTATAATGATGATGTTAATGGTGAAGGTGTTCCTCTTTCTGAGGGGGCTCAGATTATGAAACACTCTTGACCCGTCTGGGATGCCCCTCCCTGGGCGAGTCAGACAAGCTTCTCTCCCTCCTCCTCTCTATTTCCCTCAACTCCAATTGCCCCAAAGGGCGTGCTCTCCTTCTATCTCGAGCACTAGTCTCACTTTCTGT